TGTAATAGAGAGCCTCACCCTAGAGGCAAGGTGTAGAGGTGTCCGTTGTTTATCCTGGCATGCACTGTCCACAGTATCTGCTATCTCCTTGTTCTCTAAACACTCTGTCAGGTTCACGTGTGAAGCCACATGAGCTAATGACCAATCAGGATGCTGCTCCAAACAGGAGGTAAGTTCTTGCAGAACTTCAGTATTGTAACACTTGGCAGAACTCAGGTAAAATGGTGCAAGTCTCTCATAAAATACTCTGCGAACAAAATATAATTATACAAATGTATTTAAACTATTTATGTGGCTAAAAATGATTCCACACACCCGAAAAAATTTCAAGTAACAGTTAATTTAATGAAAAACCACTTTGACATAAAAATTAAGCCTGAGTAACCCTTGCATGTGATTAACGTTAAAAGTGTAAATAAATGAAAACAATAATAACCGGATTCGCTCAATTTATACAACCTGAGCCAACGAAAAGCACAACATAGAGCAGATAAGTAAAGGTAGCTTACTTGAACTTCTTCCTGGCTTCTACTTCGTCAGCCAATCGATATAGACTAAAACAGTTTGGGGAGTATTGGGGGTTGTAAAGGATAGCCTCGAAACGATAAGAGGTGATCCTATGGAGTCGTAAACTGGCCGATCCGTCTATTTTCTCTTCTAAAACAGGAGCGTGGTCATAATGTGAAGCTACTGTCTCTTCAACATGGCAGCTTGAGGTTGTAGTTCCCATGTTCGAAGAATTCTTAACACCTGGTGACTGGCACGCAAATAAACATTTGGTTAACTCGTTCAATTTGTTGTGAACCACTTTCCACTTTCACTTTAGAGACAACAGTGACATGTTACGTCATCACTCTACCCCAGGACACTCTGAGGCCCGGTTCAGAAGTTCGGCGACTGAATCAATTAGGAACGCCTGTTTCAGTTTGGAACGGCTCAGCCGTTCTTTTCGCCTAGCCCGGCCGGGAATTTCGCCTCTGGAGCGACTATGGAACGGCTTTGATTCAGACGCCGAACTTTTCATGTACCGAACCTAATGCATAAATCAGTATAACGTATATGCAAGCAGTTTGACCAAAAAGCAATCAAAATCAGCGTCTGGTCGGCCTTAATTCGCATTAGGTTCGGCTCATGAAAAGTTCGGCGTCTGAACCGGACCTGATTCTGTTTGGGCGCCGACAATTTTGACTTTTGACGGGGGATATGGATGATTTGGTTTGGGCAAGAATTTCTTTTTACAAAACCTTTGGTGATAGGATTTTTTCCCTTACATACAAAGCCATCACGGCAGGTATTAGCCTGCGAAAACATCCGTTTCTCCTCGCTCTTCGCCGCCGGGGACGTTTCGCGAGGAGGAACGTCCCGCGCGAAACGTCCCCATCGGCGAAGAGCGAGGAGAAACAGATGTTTTCGCAGGTTAGGCAGGGTATTTCCTTCCAGGATTTTTTTTCCCTCGAAATCAGTCTGCAAGATATTTTTTTCTAAGATCACCCATACCAGCAAGGAGCCTATGGGCTCTTACCCATACCCCCCTCTCCCCCTCCTCAGAATTCAAATGATCGGCCCCTTATATAAAACCTTGAAAATTGCTCCTTGGCGTGAAAGGTAATCATTGAATTCTGACTATCCCTAGAAAGTGTTCATTCCGTCACATAAATGCCCTGTTTGAAACTATAACCCGACAACATTATCAGCAGAGCCAAGCTTTAATCCGTACTGTTTGCTTTATTTTTTTTAAAAAAAACTTTAAAAACTTTGTTATATATCACACACTCGGAAAAATACATGAGAAAAACCAAAGCCGGGGGCTAAAACGGCCAATTAAAGGTCAGCAAAAAAACGTGAAGAATTTACATGAATAAAAGAAGGCTTTAACTAAAATAATTACAATACTATTAAATCAAAAGAAAGAAAAAGACAGTCAGAGAACTTACAACTTGCTATCGTGAGAAAGAGAAAGTCCCTTTTTTCAGTAAAATTAATTAATTAATAAATAACATGAGAGAAACATTTGTATATTTCCTCTACGGGTAAAATTAGTATCATGCAAAGAGACCGTATAGAGTGTCTTCACTCCCGTGGCCAGCATCTATGCAAATTTATTGGAACAATAGAAAGCGTTTGCATAAGAAAAGAGTTCAACTCCCAGAGGACGGGTTCGGTACACCAACATGGCCGCCGTTTCATTGGTTTGGGNAGAAAGAGAAAGTCCCTTTTTTCAGTAAAATTAATTAATTAATAAATAACATGAGAGAAACATTTGTATATTTCCTCTACGGGTAAAATTAGTATCATGCAAAGAGACCGTATAGAGTGTCTTCACTCCCGTGGCCAGCATCTATGCAAATTTATTGGAACAATAGAAAGCGTTTGCATAAGAAAAGAGTTCAACTCCCAGAGGACGGGTTCGGTACACCAACATGGCCGCCGTTTCATTGGTTTGGGACACCAATATGGCCGCCCTGACGTCATGTGAAAACACTCTATATGAGCTCTCTCCTCCGCAAAGGCGGCCTCTTTGTGTTTTTCGATTATTGCTATTTATATAGGGTTACACCTAATTGCAATAACGTTGTCTTAGAAAAATGACAAAAGGAAAAAGCCCAATAGGAATTAAATTGGCTAATTAAGCCACATTCTCACGGTAGATTCGTTTGCAGCCGATACATTTGCCCGCTGGAATTTTCAGTTTTATTTTCAGCTTTAAAACAATTAACAATTATTGGACGAGGTTGAGCAGTGGCGAGCAGATCAATAAGCCGAAGGCAAATAATTTATCTGCGAGACACTGACAAATCACGATATTTTGCGATAACCGTGTTCAATAATTGTTTTATCATTCGATCACCGAGTTTGTTTTTTTAATGAAAATCCTCGGGAAGCGAAGCGATCTGCCATTTTCACGCAAGAGCGATCGCCAGAAGGAGAAAAGAAAGGTTTCCTTTACGCATATGCAGAATATTATTTGCAGCCAGTCTGATTTGCAGCCAAACACTTCCAAAACACAGTTGTACGGCATTGCGCATAAGCAGACCATTATTTGTAGACAGTTATTTGCAGGTCACGTGGTGGGCTCTCGGCCGATGAAAAGAAAGAAAAATTTGCTTCGAATTCCAACAGGCAAATACGACGTCCATGTGCGGACGCTGGCAATGAATTTATTAGGCTTATCACTCAAACTAATTCCTATTTGCCTTTTGCCTTGTTTTGTTTTTTTTTTTTTCCAATTTTTCTATGACGACGTTTTTGCAATTTTGAGTACTTCTTAGCGGGGACTCTGCGGAGGAGAGAGCCGTACATGAGCGATATATGATGCTGGCGTACGTCCAGTGGAGACAGAAAACATCTTATAAATATGGAAACGGTCAATTGCTTTTTAAGAATCAAAGTTATTTTTAATGCTTGCGCGGACGAATGTACATGAAATATGTGTTTGAAAAAAATAGCATGTCACAGGACGGGTTAGGTTCTAAATTAAAGTCTTTTTTCTAATTTTCAATAAACGTGTTTAGTTCACCTTTAGAAAATTGGCATTAATTATTTCAGTTTTCTTTGTTTTTTCACCAATAATTCACCTGATCCTTCTTTTTCTGACTTCTATTAAACAGTTTATTTCTGGGATTTGAAAAACATTTTTCACAGTATTAAGTACAGTCCGTGAACCGAATAGCGCTCATCGTATTGGTCAGCCCCTGTAAGTTTCATTTGCGGGCTATTTTCGCATTCAAATTCCAAAAGGAAAATTAGAAAATCTCCCCTGATTGGCTTCTGCTTCAGGATGGTAAAGAGATAGGCAATTCTGCTGAGGTAAGTTGCATTAATTTTTAAATGACATAAAACCCTTGTGTGGAATCCATGAGCGACACTTTGCAAGGGACTGGATATCTGGCTGACATTGGGAAAGTGTCAGGCTATCTTCATCTACAGAATACTGATACCTCGAAGAAATCAAAGCAAACTTAAACCGGCTTCAGATATTTCTCTGGGCGAGGAGAGGAGAATCAGCGACCCAGCTTCCCCTGAACTGGCTTGAATTTCGCGTGGGAGTTGATTCTTTAACACAATGGGTCAGTATTGTGAGCCTAGATATTGCAATGACTTAGTTGTTTTCGCTTCATTCTGTCAGAAGGGTCCTTCGGCTCTTTATAGCAGTTTTAAACTGTTTTTATTTTGTAAATTTGAACATTTAAAAAACACCTAAAAAGACCAAAAGTCGCATCTGCGGTACTACTGATCATGAAGCCAAGGTCAAAACAACATTTTTAAGAAGATGTTGTATACTCTTCAGTAGGCGTTCACTAGTTAGAAGTCAAACGTCAGGAATTTATTTCAAAGCTATTGAAAGCCGCATTGCGACCAGATCAAGGGAAAAAATGAGATCAGATCCATGCCAAGGCGGAAGTTAAAATTAGTATTACCTATTTACCTGAAAACTGAGTCACAGATAAAAATAGTGAAATGTAATGAGAAACATATCAACAAATTGCACTCTTTTACCCAATCATTTTCCTGTAACATACTGCGCTACCACAAAACGAAACATTAATGGATTTATTATTAAGCATCAGCTGACTCTTGTTTGATTCTTACATCGCAGGAATTATAAAATTCTTGTGCAAGTTGGTTTGTCGTAAGATGTGTAGGAATTTCAGGCTTTCAAGACGATGCGACAGAAAATGGTGGTTTTTCCCTCGAGGAAAGAGAAGTTTTAAGGGAATGTTATCAGAACGCATTTATTTCTCCCGGAAGAAAAACCATTCAAAGAGCGATCAGGAAATTTGCATTCCAATGGCGAGGGAAGCAATGCAACCAATATTTGTGACAGAAATAACAAGGAATTTTCCTCCAGAAATTCTCATGCCTTTTATCTCCGCAAGACAAGAACTGGGCGAAATAAATCTTCTTGGGGATCATGAAAACAGCTGTGTCAGTAATTCTCAACTTTCAATGGATTATGAGGAGAATATAGCAGACATTTTTGCGTGGGTTTACAAGATGGATATCGAGGAGGAGGAATTGCCAGATAATGTTTCTGATTTAATTATGAGTTCGTGAAAATTAGCCCCCAAGGAACTACGAAAGTGGGGGGATTTACACAAATTTACTCGGTGCAAATATGATACAAAAAAGTGCAAACTAGGAGTAAATCAAAAGCAAAGATGGTAAATACCGCATTTGCTTGCCTGTTTACATGGGGTTGTAAATTTGAGGGCAAATGCGGTATTTACCATCTTTGCCTTATATTTAACCCAAGTTTGCACTTTTTTGCACCAAATTTGCACTGAGTAAATTTGATGTAAATCAAATTTTTCGTGCAGTGGATTTGCCAGTCATAATCCGCTCCACGATTGGCCATTTTGTTTATGGAATGTGATGGTAGATGACCAAATGATACAGTGTCTGTAATGGCAACGAAAAGATGCGGTTTGTGTGGGTTTTGTCAAATTGAATAAACTCAGGCGAACTTGTATAATCAATAAACTATTAGTTTCATTCCGCAGAAAATTTCAGTTCAAAACCAAGTTGAGATGTTCGCAAAGAAGGCAGAAAAGTAGTAGTATTTACTCCGGGCAGGCTAGTGCACGGGTCGACTTTCCCCCGTTCGCCTCGGGATCAAAGTAATCAAGGCAATCAAGGCTCGTGATCAAAGTAACAAGGCAAAATGAGCCCGGGATCAAATGTTTAGTTATGTTTTCAACATATTAGGCATCGCGGAGGAGATACATATTGATACCAACAAAGATTAATGGGAAAAGGACTAATAAAACCTGCTGAGAACATCAATTTTAAATCTATAATTATCAAGATTTAGATATACAAAGAAACAACAAATTTAACGAAGAAATTAAAGACGATATATGACATCACACTTAAACACTTGGTAGTCAGGGATAACTGTATATAAATAAGGGGAAAAATTAAAAGCCACGAAACCTTGTTACAGATCTTTTTTAATTTTTAACTGAAAAGTGATGGACTTCTGCTGAAATCCAAACTAGTAAACAGATGATCCCTCTCGCCATTGCATTTGCAACTGCGTGATGAATCAAAAAAGACTTCGTCCAAGCGTATACCGGTTGACGTCCGAACATACACAGGTGAACGACGTAAACGATCGGCCTGAAAACGGAAGATTGTTTCCTTTTCCGTTATCTCGTATTGGAACACATAAACTTTTATCTTTGTAAAAGTTGACCTGATAACGCATGTTTAATGCCATAGACTTGTTCCCAGAGGTCGTCTGTTCGATATGTATTAAAATTCTAACATGACTCTGAGGCGTTTTGTTCATTTTTCCATATTTAGTTTGGTTTTCTTTGTGTTCAAGCTCTTCTGGGAATTACGAGACAAGAAAGTCGTGAAAAAAATGGCAATTTTGCCTCTAAGACCCTGTTTTCATGGAGTGGGGGATCCGGTCTAGTGGGGTTGGTTTCTTTTGTTTTCACGCTCTGGGGGACACAAAACAAAAGAAACCTACCCCACTAGACCGGGGTCCCCCACTCCATGTAAACAGGGTCTAAAGCCTCGGAGTATGTTAGAATTTTAATATATCGAACGTGGGTTATTACCCTTGACTCCTTGACCGTTGAAACTGGTGAAGTCAAAAGTGGTACAAGGGGCGTAAATCCGCACGGGTGGCTACAGGGTCATCCTCTCTTGCCCCAAGTCATCATTAAGACTTCGTTCAGAACTACTTAGGGCAATCATCTGAAAACCAGGTTTCTTTAGAAAGAGATTTCTTTTTTGTTTTTTTAGAACGTACATTGCGTTCAATCTGTACCTCGACTTCAGGCTGATATATCAGAAGTTGAGCCTATTTCCTTTCGCACTCCGCAGATGTGTACAACTCACTGTGGCGTATGAGGCTTATTCAGAGTCTGGAAAGCAACCGGGATCCCGAAAAGTGAGCCATTCCACCCTCTCATATAAACACAAAGACCATTATAATATAAGAGGCATGGGAAACAAGGCAAGAACCGAGCCAGCGACGCTGTCCAGGCCGGCTCACTCATTATATAAACAGGCTCTATTTACACTTTCAGTTCCCTGAACTGCTGGTGTTTTCTTAGTAATTTGTGGAAATATTTCCCAGGCCAAAAACAGAAGTTTTTAATTTAAATGATTTAGGAGGCCAATTTAAAGCAAAAACGAAATATAGAAAAAATTCTATTATTTATACCTTAAAAGTACCCCACTTAAATAATGTGACATGTTTATTCGAGCCAAATTGTATCCTTAGTGACACATTTAACTTTTTATTTAGTAATTGATTTGGGCATGCTTGCAGTGTGGTGTTAATGGTAAACGCTTGACAGGGTCACGATGTTTAAATTGTTCTGATAGGCGTAGTAATCAAAGAAAAAAGAAAACAATGATTAGAAATGAATAATGCAGTGTAATCGAAAGACAGTTTATTGTATTTTTTTTCTTTCTGGGTGGGTATAGCTATAGGAAACAAATAATCTTTAAAAAAATGTCACTGCTTGGAAAAAAGACACGTTTATGAACTCGCAGAAAAGAAAACGGATCTGAAACATCTTGCTAAAAAAGACTACAGTATTTTTTAAAATACTTTGTCTTCAGGCTTATCCCCTGAGATGGTCCTCTGTTTCTCAAGCTCCACGGAGTAAAATTCTAAGCGGCGTTGCTCAATGTTTTATCGTTGACGAAGCAAATAATATTTGTAAGCATATTGACTATAATATATCAGACGAGTGTTCATTAAGCCAACTGACTCAAACGTTCAATTTTCTGTCGCGACATTTCATTTATCCTGGGTGCCAGAGGTGTTTTTCTCTTTGGGGGTGACGGAATTGAGCGGCGAAGCCTCCAAAGCGAATCTCGAACTTGGCTATTTTCTCGCCGTTGATGATCGAGAAGACCTCTGGTATTCAGGGTACATCTTAATTAGAGGTCCAGCAGTTCAGCCAACATATGATCAAGTTCTTCTTCGCTGGCGCTAGCCTTAAGTTTTGCGGAGTAAGGCTTTGTATTAGTTAAACCACTTGCCGTCTCAGTAGGTCTGTAGTTGAATTGGCATTTCTCAAATGCCACATCATCCACGTCATCCAAGAGTTTTTCAACCAAGGTATCGGTGCTCCGTCTTGTCTCAGCTGACGTAATCCTTGATTGCTGGCCTTCGCTTTCCGAATCTCTGCAACTTTCAACGGCCAGAAGCAGTTCTTGCAACTCTGCGTTTCGTTTCTCGACATCTACAAAGAGTTCATTAAGTTCCTCCTCGGGTGGAATTTCGATAGGCTGCCGTTTTTTAGAGTTCTTGGTCGAAGGACTGTATTTATTGCGATTATCAATTTCTTCCAAGATTTTCTCCATTTCTTCATCCTTAGCGAGGCTCCTAACTCGCAAGAGTGTTTTTGTGCTGGAGTTCACAGATTTTTGCTGTTGAATCTTTGAATCACTGGCCATGAATCGCTGCAACTTTCGCAAAAGATTTTTTGTCTGATTTGAACAGAACTAAACGCAACTGCACTCATCATTTTTGTAAACAGCGATAAAGAGTTCCTGTACGTGAATAGTGAACAACCGCAAGTTGTATTTTACTGGCTCTTCACGAATATTATTAATTAGACAAGGCTTGTAGCACTTCCCAAAGACGTGACACTTTCGACACCTGCTAAACTTTAGCTAAAGACATTAATTCTATTCAACGACAATAGTTCCACAAATTCACTAAAAACCCTAACCAATGAAATGATTAATTTTCTGTTCCATAAATAATGAAAGAAATTGTGACTAGGAGTTGTAGTATTTCATTTTCAGCTGTTTCTTATTTTGTCAGTTCTGTGAGAATTTTATTGTTATGGACGAATGATCGTGACCTGCTCTTGCTCCCTCAAGCAAGTTATACATGTTTTTATGTACTATAGAGGAAGCGTGTGGCTCGGTGGTGCATTTGCTTCAGAAATAAATTTACAGCCACTTGCTAAAACGCGCGGAAAATTTTTAAGAATAGGTTTAATAAGTGAATTTACTTGTCCTTAAATTGAAAAAAATTAACATAGTAACAACCGAATGAGGATGGAAACAATTTGGCAACTAAGTGTCCATGCTCCTGGTGTAGAGTCTACAGTACGATTTTATTCAAATATTTTCATTTCAATGGTCAAAACACCAACCGATTTTTTCTGAGGAATGTTGATCACTGTAACGTTCAATGTTACATTCCGCTTTGTTGATTCTTTATTTACTAAAGAATATATTCATTAAAGCTCTGACTCTAACACAGACTCAGAGCACTGCGTCTAAAACGTCTAAGGCCGCTTTTCCGGGTAGTATGAGGCCCCTGGCCAGCCGAGTCAATTTTAGCGGGCGTTTAAATAAGAAAAAAAGTTGACCCCTTTACCTGAGCCACCAGCGCTCGCGCATGCTCTGATTGTCTCGCCTTGACCAAGTTAACCCGGCTGGGCAAACCTGAAGCGTTTAAATGGAGAAACGTTGGCCTGTCTGGGAGGGTGACCCTTGTAGCTAGCCGAGCCAACTTTTGTTTGTCATGTAAACGGTTTGCCACACTGTACGTTTTGTAAAGAAATGTATGAAAATGTGGTTCCCCTAGGGTACGGATAGCTCGAGTAGGCGGGTGACCCTTCCTCCACGGTTTCTCCATATAAAAGGGTCTAACGTTAACTAAGGCGAACTAACAGTGGCTGATCCAGGCGAAACGTAAGAGGGGTCCGGACCCCTCTGAATACATCCGTCAGAACCGGCGACGATTTTTTTAAATACTCAGCTAAATTCTATGAAATTGAAACCCCAAAAGAAACCCTAAAGCGTCTCTTACAAGACCTTACAACTTTCATCTCGTAGCTTAAAAATAAAACTTCCGTTTTACATTGCCTTTTAGGCATAGGCGTACGGGCAATTTTTTGCCAGGGGGGTGGCGGTAAACTATTTGCCCAAAAAATTCCCTCAAGTTGCCCAAATTTTTACGAAACAGCAGAAAAGAAACGAGGGCCATACGATGCAACAACGTAGGCCGTACTGGCATATGAAGGGGGCTCGATACTGTAACAGTTTTTCAGGGTCAATAGGGAACT